TCATTAAACAATAAAATATGCTAGTTGGTAAACTAGCTAGCAGGATCGGAGGAGTCTGAAAAAATAAAAAATTTATTATAAAAACTATCTTAAATAATTAATAGAATATATAGATAAAATACTTACATTAACCATGAAAATAATCATGGCATTTATTGTATTTATTATTTGTACACTATCCATTTTAATTTTTTTATAAAAAGCAAAGAATGGTTACTAAAAATATTAAATGCTTCGTCGATGTATACTTCTTGAGCACTACCGAACGATTGACTCCGGAAAAGATTTTCGGAAAAATCAGGATGATTCCTACTCTCCAAAAGAAACTCTAGTCAAATTAATAAAAATCTTTAAAGGAAGAAGAACATTGATTTCGCTTTAGACGCTTAGCATATTGGAAGATGTTAACGCAACTAAACAAGGCTAACTCAAAAACCTTATCTCTAAGTCAAAAAAAAAAGCAATAAAATGACTAACAGACAATTCGTCATTAAGATTACTCTATCTCCAATCACCTGCTGCGTACATCCTTTCGAACGCCTCTTCATTGAAAAAGGAACATCGAATGCGTTTTAACCCTCAACATAAGGTAAAGCGTTATTGGAGAAAGTGCAAGCTGGTGTGTGTGGTCGAAAGTTTCCTAAATTATATATATGGCCCTGAAAAAGGATAGTGCACGCTGCTAGAACGCATCTTCATTTAAAAAGGAACATCAGTTATGCTTTAGACTCTTAGCAACGACTTCTATAGCAACCTACCTTAACAACATCTGTAGGTGGGTGGGAGAGTGGGTGAATGGGAGGGGGGGGGGGTACTGTCGAAGGGCCCACTGGCTTCTGTCTCAGGACATACGCATATATCTTATGCATTGGCGGCGCATCTTCAATGCATAAGCTACATCGATTACCTTTTAGGTACTCAGCGGGTGGTGTCAAAGGTACATCAAATGCCTTTTAGACACTCAGCATGGGGTTTCACTCTGTCGAAGGGGCCACATAGCGCCCTACTATCGAAGGAGAGCGAGAGAGAGGGATAGAGAGAGAGAGAGAGAGAGAGAGAGAGAGAAAACAGTATCCGAACTATACGGTGTACGCGCCTAGCAAGCTAGAGACGCTACCCCCTCTCCGAGGGTCCATACTCAGCCAGCATAAGCATATAGTTTACCAAACACCCTACCGACTTCTACAGCATCCTACCTTAACAACCTCTGTGAATGGGTGGGTGGGTGAAGCGCCCTACTATCGAAGGACAGCGAGAGGGGGGGGGGCACTGGCCCCCTCGAAGGGGCCCACTGGCACGCGGGAGGTGTCGAACGAACATTAAATGTAACACTCAGCATGGGGTCTCACCTTATCGCGATTAAAAGGTGTCACTATCGCGACACCTTCATCGGGCGGCCTCTTTGTGTCCCAGAACATACACATATCCCTTATACATTAGCGGCGCGCGCGAGGTGTTAAACCAACATCAAATGCCCTTTAACACTCAGCATGGGGCCCACTGGCACGCGGGAGGTGTCAAAGGTACATCAAATGCCTTTTAGAAACTCACCATGGGGTCTGACCATAAATTAAAAGGTGTCACTACCTTCACACCTTCATCGAGCGGCTCCTTTGATTCCCAGAACATACACGTATCCTTATACATTGGCGGCATCCTTTGTCGGCTCCTTTGTGTTACAGAACATACATTGCTTATCTACTCGCACCGGTCGTCGCATCATCGGAGAGAGAGAGTGTAGAGAGAAAGAGAGGCGGTTGCGATCACGAAGCTCTCAGGAAGCTCGATTATAATCCGCTTAGCAAAAACATGAATGATGCACATAGTGCACCATATGGCCAGCCGCGAGGCTGGCCAGGTCACCTTGTGCGAAAATCTTTTGTCAAAGCGGCGGATAGTAATTGTCTTCCTCAACAGAGAGTGGAGACTTCTCAAACAAACACTTTGTTGTTTTGGGAGAGGATGTCGTAAACTTCTCTTACATGTACGGGCATAAGCAAATGCAAATGCTGAAGTACAAAATGCGTCACCGATTGCCCTCGACAAGCAACTAATGCTAGTCGACCCGAAGTGAATGCAATGTGTATTTGAACGAAGACTTGCAATCACATGTGCGGATGTGTGTACCTTCACGTGGTGGGGATGAAAACGCTGTTTCTGTAAAGAAACAGTAGGCAAAACACACAACGCTCGCCCTTAGGGCAAAAGGCCAGTTGGCCAAACGAAAATAAACAACACGGACCATGACAACACGTGGTGAGGTGCGGCCCGTAAACGCCCAAACATTCAAATGAGTCTACCACACCCCAAGAGCTCAACTCAATCCTAGAAAAGCCAAAATCTGGGAATCACTTGAGGGGAAATCTCTTGGGATTGTGGTACCGCGCGCCCTCTTAGAGGACGGAAGACCGCTCCGGGAGCTAGTTGCAGAGGACCAATGGTCCCGGCAATCCGAATCTAATTCGGGTAGATAAGAAATTACTCCCTATCGACTGGCAATCGGTAGGTGCCACTATTGTGGGTAAAGAGTCGTGGTCGTGGTCATAGCAGCCACCCAAAGTTCTTTGCCTCGAGCTCCGGGAGTAAGGCCCGACACCTTTGTGTGAGAAAACACAATTTGAACGCTAATCTCGAACGCTAAAACACCTGATTTGAGCCTGGATCTCGGAAATTGATTTGAATGAGTGGCATGACTGGCACGAATATTGAAAACTGCCTGGGGAGTCGCCTTGTCGGCTAGGCGAGACCCTGCCCCTGACCCAAGTCAGAAAATTAATCGAAAGAGCAGAGATCAATATCAGCGAGTCATAAAAGCCTTCCATGGAAAGCGAAATCCAAGACTCGGGCAAAAATCAGAACACAACCTTTTCGAATAACGGACACCCACCAGTGTGAACGGGGATGACCGAAACGCAATGGGAAGACGTCCCTTGGCACGTCGAAGCGATAGACCTGTGAGTCGTGGGATAAATCCCTTAATACAGGAACGCAGGTTGGGATGATCTTCGAACGCGAGCCCAGGAAGAGGGGCTTATCTGGTCGATCGTCTTAGGAATTTCCTCTGGCTGTCCTGGATGAGTCTCTTTTCTGACATCCCAATTTGGGTTGGCCTCTGCGGGGTAGTGGTACCAGGTCAAGGAAATCTCGTAAGATTTGTATGCTGCGTGCTTCGGACGTAGTAGACGTTGGGGCAACTAGAGTCCCGTCGCGCCTAAACCGAGGGTCAAGCCTTTAGTTCCGCTCTCCTTGAGCGTCGAACCGTGAAAAGATCGGTACTCCTTTCGAGGAGGTCACCGCCTTAGATCAAAAAGGTTCCGACTCGCTGAGTGCGTCAGGGATGTCGTAGCAAACTTGACTTCCGGATCCCCAATGTATTTGAAAGCGAAGGGTTAAAAGACAGTGGGCTATGCCAACCTATTGGCGCCTAGAGAGAGGGGTGGAAATGTTTTGATTACGCTATACCACCCTCAAAACGGAAAAGTGTGAAACAACGCATACACTAGCTGTAGAGAGAAAGAGATATTCAGAAAAGGACAAAGAACCTTGACCTTGTTGTGTTGCTGCCTACTCGGTCGAGAGCTGCAATCGGCGAGGTTGCAATCCCGGAAGAACTGCTGTTGGTGGCGGGGTCGCTTTCCGAGGAGAGCTGCGACCGTGACGAGATCGTTGTCCCGGGTAATAGTAGAAGCTGTGGAGGCTGCTGTCCTAGAAGGCTGTGATAATTGACAAGGCTGCTGCCCTCGAATTGTCTAACGGGAACGACGATAAGCTGGTCACTCTGCTCTGGCAATCAAGGGTATTGACTTCTAATACGCTCTTTTCTGGCTCTCTCTTCCTTTCTTACTGCTCGAAACTAGAATGGACTCGCGCACGCATTTTTTTCGCGCTGACCGTCTCGCGGCCGCTCAGCGGCGGTCGCTCTTATCCCTTCCTGATCTATTAGTTAGTCGGCACATGATGCGCCGCTTATCGGTCACGCGTCGCGCGCCTGCCTATCCCTGCATAGGCTTAATACTCACTCTCTCTCTCTCTCTCTCTCAACTTTTCCTGCGCTCAGCTCCGCTGGCCCGTCCTTGGCGCTAAAACAAAAAGGCCGAGTGTTAGGCGCATACTTTAATGCGCCCAACGTTGGCTACCATGCCTTGTCGAGTGGAGAAGGAGGGAGAAACGCAGACGAGAAGCCTGCGCACGGCCTGCTCTTGTCACAAAAGTTAACTGCCATCTCTAATTAAAATGAAAGAATTTGTAGAAATTCTTTATTACTCAATATTATTACTCAATATGATAAATATTATTCTTTGGTAAATGCATAATTAATTATATCTGTAAAAGGGCAATGATATATATGTGTAAAATGTAAGGGAACAATAAGGCAAGAATATCAAGTTTTCCAATACCGACTTAAATTATAGAAATTTGAATGTTTAAATAATGTTCCGCTATTCAATTTATTGAGGATTGTGCGTTTAATATAGTACATGTAGAAGGATAAATTAAAATAATATTGAGATGAGATTGAGCTGTCCTCTGTTCATATATCGAGTTTTCATCATGACATTAGATATCCCAGTATCGCGTATTCAAGCTGCAGTTGATAAAGGTTAGTCTTTGTACCATAACGACATCTTTGTATTTTTTTCCAATTTAAGCCAATAACTTGTATCGTTTAATTCAAAACATTCATTTATATTACTTACCGATATACTCATTTCGATTAGTTAACAGTGATTCATTCGCAACAATTACTATATTACCATGCTGATATACAGTACAATTAAAATGTTCTATTTTCATTCAAACAAAAATTTTCAGCGGAAAAAAAATAACACTGATATTCTACAAATAATTTATATTTTGCAATAAAGATTATAATAAAGTTTTTTACTCATTTGATAAAAAAATTTTAATACAATAGAATTTGCTCTTCTAAAGTACTATCAATTCATATTTAAATAACAATTTTCAATTTTATTTACATTCATTATTACGTTTTATTGCAGGTCCACGGCGAAAGCCGTCCTTGGAAAGACAACAGACTATTTATGATGAATATTTACATTACAACGATTCTAATGATGATGTGACATTCAATTGTATTAATGAGAAATTTCCTGAAACTCACAGCAATTTGGATCATATCCCTAAAAATTCAAGGTAATTTTATATAATAAGGACACATATTTTAGATCATGTCATTGGTAGATTAGGTTTTTTATTTATAGATGCAGTAGAGCGTCAAGGATCTATTAAAAAAAAGACGTATTTTATTGATATTTTATAAAGACGTATCTTAATTACATGATTTCATGTCTCAAATTGAAATATGTTTAGACGTCATTTTTGAACGAATTGATAAAATTTTTTTCGGAAGTTGGCAATATTTAGCAAACAAGAAATGTATTTATTCATAAAATAATCATTTTTTATATTCTATCACTATAAATAGCTATTATATGATGTAGAATATGCCATTTAATTAGTGAAAAAAAAGAAAAAATCTGATTTAATCAAGAACTGAACCTGATACCGTCGAATTATTGAATCAGTACTATACCGCTTTGCTATTAACTACTTTTTAAAGCCTTCAACCCTAAGTCTTTGATCTCAAAGTTTGTGAATGTGAAAGCTCTTAACCTTCAACCCCTTAAAACTCAAGTTCTTTGAACTTCAGCACTTTTATCCTGAATAATGTGTCTTCTTGGTTTCGAATGATATACGAACTAGTTTTCACTTATATTGCATTTTTATATGGCGTTTCAAACTCCAGCAGTAGTGTACCACCATATGTTCGTTTCAAATACCCTGGTATCTTTGTTCCATAACTTTGATATCTTGATGTAATCTTCTATGAAATCTTTAAGATTCTCCGTGAAAAATTTAAGGTGTAAATCGTGGTAGTCTATTTTAGAATTCATGAAACAACCAAAATTGTTATAAGCTTTCAACATTATAGTAACGATATTTTTATATTTGTGACCTCTATTGTTGCCTAAGTATGTGGTTACAACTTATTTAAAGTTCTTCCAAGCAGCAAGCTCAAGAGTTGTCATTTGACTCTCAAATATTTCACCTGATATAAGAGCTTTTATTTACATTTTATTCAAAAACCTTTGTCAATTTCGGCATGAGATAAATTTGGAAATTTAGTGAAGAGATAATTAAAAGCATCACTGTTATGTGGTTTCATAACTTTGATAAATTGTTTAACGAGTCCGATCACGAGTGTCCTATTCACATAAAAAACACGGAAACTCAACAAAACCATTCTTTTAACCAAGTATGATCGCTATTATTTTGAGGTCACTGTTTATCTGCCATAAGTGTTGATTACACGATAGTTTAATGAGCAAAAATTCGAGGTCAACGTAGCTCTCTTCCAAAATTCTTAAATATGCTATGAGAACGGACGCACAGATATTTCTGTTATACAATAACACCGCTTTGAAACATTCTTTGGAAGAATCAAGGAATAGTCGCCAATCTACAGCGCTAGTAGTAACGCACTCAAATTCAGTGATCAAACCTTGAAGATCATTACAATAAATGATTCATCGTAATGCTAATATTTTTTAATAGTTTGTCTCTTTATCGCTATATTGTTACTCTGGTTTTTGGTACGAGAAGTCTTTTTTTCTGGAGCCTAACTGCGAAAAGCTCAGCGTTTTCTTTAAAGAGTTCCAAATCTCTTACAAGATCTTAGTTTCTTAAGAATAAATAATCTTAAGAATTTTTTAGCACGTGAAGATCAGAATGACTATCGGCATTTTGCGAAGACATATCTACTTCTGCTTCCGCAACTTTAATTTCCAGATCTTCATTATCCTTTAAACTGTCATCAAGAAAATGATTGTCCAGTTCACTAGAGGGTTCGAGATTCATTTCTCATATTGGTTTTGTAACAGAAGTAACTGACAAATACGATTCCAGTTCTATTTCTTGAATTGAATTCATCTACAAAAGTTGAACAAAAGTAAAAGTCATCTACATGATTCCGAGGTTTTCGCCAAATCATAGGAGACGTGAATAGTTTCTTCCTTTCATTACCTTTATTCCACTGATTAAGGAATGGCACACAGTAGGTACACAAAATATTCGGTATCCATATTTTATAGAAATCAATCATAGCATTGAGGCATGCAATGGCTCGGTCGGTAGGGCGACTGACTCGCACCTGGTAGGCCAGGGTTCAATTCCCAGTCCCTGCTAATTGATACAAGCACCACTAAAAAAAGTTTCATGTGCTTTGTTTCAAACACCTTACAAGCCTCCCTCGTTGATTAGCACTGATGGAGCATAAATAGACCGTTAAATAAAAAAAAAGTCATAGCATTTGGGCAGGAACATTTATATCTACTTCTAAAATGATCTGTGAAAGTCTTTCTATATTTTTTTTTCAGAGCTTAGTCAGTTCGGACTTGAGATTGATGCTCTCTAAAACTCGAGCAACCGTAAGAGTATATAGTTGAGTGGAAAGTAAACAGATTAAAGCAAATAAACAAAAACATACATAAATAGTTATAATTAATATAGCTGTTATGGCTACACCAACAAAAACAGCGAACAAATTCAGAAGAATCTAAAAATTTGAAAACTGAAAAATGGAAAATCATGAGAAATAAAAGAGCACGGAATAGCCCAGATAAAAATTAAATTGCAAAGAAACGACAAACACAAATTAGTGACTACTGGTTAGGTAATGCAAATAACAAACTCAAAGTAAGCAATAATGTAATGTAAGCGAAATATTGTCAGAAACAGAAACCGAGAAAAAAGTTAATGAAAACGCAGGTAAAAAAAACTTTCTATTAACAACAACTATTATTAAAACACCTAAAACTCCACTGATTTTTGTTAACGGTGTATTAAATATTAGTCTTCTGAAAAACTTATTGGACAAGGTAGCTAAAAATGAATACATTTTAAAATTACTCAATAATGATGCAATAAAAATTCAAATCAATAAGCCGGAACTATTTGCTGTAACTATAGAAGATCTTGAAAATAAAAATAATGATTTATACATATTCCAACAAAAAGAAAATAAACTGTATAAAGCAGTATTGAAAAATATACATCCATCGGTAAATATAGATAAACTTAAAAAAAGAAATTAAGTTATACGATCATGAGGTAATAAGAATAACAAATATTAAACACAGAATTTCCAAACAACCACTACCGATATTTTACGTTAATATAAAAACAAAAGAGGACAACGAAGAAATATACGAAATAGATGAATTAATACAACAAATCATCAGCTTTGAACTCCTTATAAGAAAAGAGAAATCCTACAGTGCATACGATGCCAAGAATACAGCCACACCAAAAATTACTGCGATAGAGCACCAGTCTGTGTAAAATGCGCACAAAATCATTTGTTAGCTAACTGTCCAATTCAAAGCAAAATAAAAGAAGTAAAATGTGCAAACTGCCGTGGTAATCACGTAGCAAGTTATAAAGGATGTAGTGCAAGAAAACAACTCCAACAAAATCTGTTTACTTCACTAAAGCAAAAACAGTTAGGAAATATTTACTATATATATGTATTTACTATACAGTTAGACCAAACATCTCATATGCGCATACCGCTAGCTGTAATACGTTCATAACATAAGAACCCAAACAATCACAGATACCTCAACCAACAGTAAGTAACAACGACAATCAATTAGCAAATATTATGGCACAACTGATGAACAGAATACGAGGTCTGTCCGGAAAGTATCGGGCCTACGTTTATATCTTCGCGCCATAGTGTTCGAGCGACTTCTACCGGACAGAAACGTCAACAACAAAGCCTCACGAATCTATTGGTTACTTACTGACATCTGCCGGACGTATAATTCATGCGCAGCGTGTCTTTGTTTACATTGCCTTTTTCGCGTTTGTCGGATTTTGATATTGTCAAAAATGACTGAAAAACAATATCAACGAATTTGCATCAAATTTTGCTTTCAACTCGGAAAAACGAGTTCAAAAACTATTGAAATGATGCAAAAGGCCTTCCGAAGCGAGTGTATGAGCAAAACACGAATAAAATAGTGGTATAAACGGTTCAAGGATGGTCGCACTTCTGTCGATAGTGATTCTCGTTCCGGTCGACCTTTGACAACAAAAACCGCAGATAATATTGAGCGGGTGCGAGTTGCAATCGAACAAGATCGTCGTATGACTGTACCAGAACTAAAAGAAGACCTTGGGATACCAAAAACTATCATTTCAGAAATTTTAACCGAAAATTTAGGAATGAAACGCGTATGTGCGAAATTCATCCCAAAATTGCTCACAGCAGAGCAGAAGAACATTCGCTTAGAAATCGCTCTGGACAATCTGGAAATGGTCAATAATGATGACAATGTGCTTAGAAAAGTTATTACTGGTGATGAATCATGGGTTTATGGTTATGATCCTGAAACAAAACAACAATCTTCACCGTGGGAGCATTCTGAATCGCCAAGACCAAAAAAAGCACGTCAAAGTCGGAGCAATATTAAGTCAATGTTGATTATTTTTTTCGATTGTGAATGTGTTGTATATCATGAATATGCACCAACAGATCAGACAATCAATAAAGAATACTACTTTTAAATTTTAAAACGTTTGCGTCATGCAATAAGAAGAAAACGGCCGCACTATTGGGAAAGTGGTGACTGACTTTTCCATCACGATAATGCGCCAGCGCATTCATCCAATCTTGTGCAGCAGTTTTTGAGCAAACACAATATCGCATTGCTTCGACAACCTCCATACGGTCCCGACATAGCCCCTTGTGACTTTTGGCTGTTTCCAAAACTAAAAAAACTACTCAAAGGACACCGATTCGATGACAAAACAACGGTTGAAAACAATGCGACGAGTGTACTTAAGGCTATCCCTAAAAGTGAGTTCCAGGACTGTTTTGAAAAGTGGAAACATCAATGGAACCGTTTTATTCAATCAAGTGGGGATCAATTTGAAGTTGCCACCCACCTGATGATAAAGAATAACGCTAGCACGAAAATATAAAGGTAGGCCCGATACTTTCCGAACAGACCTCGTAGACACGATGCTAAATCTACTTACAACGCTCATAAATAAAATTTTATGAATATAGAATTAAAAATAGCAATTTAAAATGCTAAAGGTTTAGCGCAGAGAAGCATCGAAATAAA